CGCATTAAATATCGCATGCGATTTATCGTGCAGCCCTAATGCACACCCTAATTTGTGGAACGCTTATGAGTAAATACAATGCTGTGGCATTACTCTGTAATGAGGAGAAGAGAAACTATTTATAACTCTAAAGTAAACAGTCCAGAGCCAGACATCCCAGCTTTTTATATTTTCAGCTTGAACCCTGAGGGGGGAGTGTGTGGTTGCACCGACTCACAGTTGTAATATGTAAATAAACCTGCTAATGATACAGCGTGGATTGTCCCCATCGCATGTGTTTGATGCGTGTGTTGTCGTCTCTCTGTTGCAGCTGCTGTTTCAAGCAGAGGTTCTTGGGAGGAGAGCTCCAGTTCCAGTCAGCCCTCTCTTACAGCCTTAACCCTCACGTCCACACGCACACCGACTGCCCGGCCAACATCAAAGGTACCCACCCAACCCATCTGTTTGCTTTTCACTTTCTCCCTTTCATTACTGCACATCATTTCGCCAGTTGCACCACTTTATCTGTTCCTTCTTCATCATCATCATCATCATCATCATCCTATGAAAATATGCTGCTAGGTGATGAATGTTTTCTTTTGTATCTTTTATTGCAGATTACTCATAATGCAGTTGAATGAATCCATAGATAATAATGCATATAAATTTGTTTGATTATGGCAAATTTTAAGTTACATTGGGTTAGAGACCTGCGCGGGACGGATTTTTCAGTCCCGCAAGATTCTGTCCCGTGCCCGCCCGCTCCAGCAGAAATATATCTTATCTGGGCCCACTCCCGCCAGCGACATTCATGTTTTGTCCCGCTCCCGCCCGCAAAAGCCCGCATAAAAGTAATCTATATAGATTTTTTTTCAGCACATCAAAGAAATTTACATTAAATGGCTCTGTAACATCTCCTAAGCTTCACAACATACCCGCATAAATGCTCCCGCTAAAATATTTGTTATTTAGGCTAAGCATCAACATTCACAAACCACTGTTATTTTTAACAGAAAAGCAAGCATGGGCTGCTGCGTGCATGGTTTGGCATGGCAGAATGTGATCAGCGCTTCCTTTATTACCACTAAAAGCTGACATCTCAGTTCATCGCGATCTCATAAAGCTCTGTTATAACACAATGAACATATGCACAATGAATCTTTCACAATGTCTACACTTCATGTGTTAAAATGAGACGATTCGTGAGCACGCAATTTCAGCACTGCGGTGAGTGGATTCTAACTTAATCACCTCTGGTTGGCCATTGCGTTCCGGAAATCAACAGCTGAGTCTGTGATTGGCTACATTGAGCAACCCTTTAAGCACGTGTTAAACTTAAAGTTTGTCTAGACGAACTTTTTTATCTAGTTTCTATTAAAATCATTTTTTTCTCCTGCATCCCGCACACACACGAGCCTCTTTCCACCCGCGCTCGCCCATCAAGAGTTGTCCCGCGCCACACCCTATTGCATTGGGTCCCGCGGTACGGGAGTGCAGGTCTCTACATTGGGGTGGACTTTGTTCCTTAAAATGATGCTTAGTACGAATGTGTGCATTTATTAACAATTTATTTGTTTCTTTGACCAAATGTGTACACTGGTGTTGAGCGAGCTGATATGAGAGGCCATTTTCAATTCATTTTCTATGGGAGATGAGTGGCAGGATCGCATAAGGGATTGTGGGAATGACAGCGATGTGTCACAAAGTTTGAAATGCTCAATTCCATGCAAACGAGAGGCAAAAATGACAGATAGCAGTCAATCACTGAGGAAAAGGCAGTGACGTCTGTCATGGTTTTAAAATCTGCTGATAGTGCTATATGTTAAATGACCCCAAACTTTGGATTGATAGTGTATGTATATACCATGGCCATGCCACATGGAAATGACTGTGCCATGAAACATGACACCCAGTATACACTAAATACACTTACAATGAAAGTAGTATCAAAAGTACAACACTACGTTTGAGTTTTGTTGAGTTCTTTAATTAAAAAAATATCTATAGTAAAAACCCTTAAAACAAGGTTATAGAGATGCAGCTGCTTATGATATCAAGACTTCTTTATAGATTGTATCTAAATAGAAGTGTATTTTGTCTTACTGAACATGATCATTTTTTCACTTTTTTTTTTTAAAGCTTTTTAACCTTATGTTTATTCCTAAAACTGCCAGTGCAGTTAGACAAAATACTTGTCAAAGAAATGTTTTTATGCACTGTTGCTTCTCAAGTAAGTTTATATTGTTTCAATGATTCTAAGATGTTTTAACTGGACAATTAGACAAACATATTTGTTCAGAATAGGATTTTCTTTGCGGTGTACCATTATAATCAATTATAATGTTTAAAATAGTTATTGTTTTAGGTTTGTAGCCTACATAATGAATATGGCATGCCAAATAAGTATTTTCATGTAAATTTTATAAATTGAAAATTAATTGTGATTGTAATATCAATTCTGATTTTTGTCATAATTGGGACAGACCTTCTGGTCCACTGCACACATAGTAGTGCTGTGTTCGATACATCGATACGACGATGTATCGTCACAGAGGTTTGACGATGCGAGTATCGATACAGCTGTCCCTGTATCGATATTGTGGCACGTGTGCAGCAGTAGACCGCGCTTAATTTGAATACAAGAACAACGTTTAAAATTGAGCAGAAAAGTGCGAGGTTTCTAAAAAATAATGAATAGAGCATAATATATAGGCTATAACAAGTTTTAATCTGGCCGCAGAGGAACACAACTGGGTTGCCTGATATAAAGAGACGTAATCCCCGAAACAGAGCTTCCCACTTGCGCAATACGGAAATATCTGCTAAGTGTGCTACTTATCTTTGTCAACCTGGCAACCATGTGCACGCGCTCTCACTCCACTGTGGATAAACGCGCTTGCTTTCTGAAAACACCGGTTTTAGCTTGCAGTTTAGCAATCTCCACTTCAATATTCTATTCTCAGAAAAGTGTAATTCATCTAGTGTTTATTTACGAGTGAGAGAGAGAGAGAGAGAGAGAGAGAGGCTGTGTGTGTATGAATTACCACCGTTTTGCCACGTTTCTCTATTAACAGTGAAGCTGTGGCTTTAATTCCTTTAGAAACAA